ACACACACACACACATACACAGGCACACACACACACACACACACAGGTGAGTCTGTGCATCACGTCTGCACAAGCTGCTTTACTCTCTTTTGTCATAAGAAAAGTTACACACATTTTGTTTCTTGTAGGTTTTGCAGGTTTCAGGAAGAATGATTAGACAAATACAATATTTTGAGGTGTTCCATAAAAATGATGAGATAGAGTTCAGGTGCCAAATAAAATAAAGTAAACTTTTTCAGAAGCTAAATACACTTATGAGATTGACTTGAGATGCTAAATAACACTTAGGCTTGGAGATGAGTTAACACTGAATGACACATATGAGGTAAGTTGAACATTTTGAGGTACTCAATAAAAAAGTGCTAATTAAGAGTAAACATGCTAATTGTAGCTCGCTCAAAGTTCTGGTAAACCAACATAAGTTTAACTTTAATAGAAAAGCTGATTTGTGTAGGAGGTGTTGCTCGGTGTATTATTTACATGGAGCTTGTTTTATTATGTTTCTGTCAGTTAGCCTGTATGTTTAATTATATATCATATGTGAGACATGTTTCCTGTTGAATATATTTTAACATGAGGCCTCGGAGAGGAGAGGTAGATAATCATCAGCTGATAAACTGTATATAATATATATAGAATAAACTGTATATAAAATAACATGTCCTATCCAGACTGAGTCTACAGTAAATTCTATAAACAGGATACATTATTGTGTGTTTGTGTGTGTGTGTGTGTGTGTGTGTGTGTGTGTGTGTGTGTGTGTGTGAAATGGGTGAACTGATAAATGCATCCTCCCCTCCGCTGGCTGCTGGGTTGGTGGGTGCACTGATGTGTGTGTTCACAGAGCCGAGCTCCACGTGGTCAGTGTTCAGGCTAAAAGCAGAGCAGACAGCTGAGCTCAGTGAGCGACACCATGTCTCTGTACCGCAACTCCGCCTGGTTCCTGAAGGGAATGACTGAGTTCACCAGGTAAGAAAACTTTATCACTGCAGAGTCTCATTTTCTGCCCTTCTGTATCTTGGGGTTTTATTGAAAACCTCGTTGTATTTCTGATTCTATCGAGAGAGAGAGAAAATATCAGAAGTAACACAGAGTTATCTAATGTGGTACTTGTATCTTTATTATAAGATTTAAAAAGTTTAAAACTGGTTCACAAGACAAGTGAATTAGGGCTTGATTTTTAACTTGAACATGGAATAGAAAAGAAAATAGATTTCTCTACTTGTTTCATTCTTTAGGTCAATTTTTACATCTGTCTTATGTTTCAGTTATAATGTCCACACACTGAGCTTCTAGTTATCTGGAGTGAAAAAATGTCTAAGACCAGATGTGTTTGGACCGGCCCATCATAGAATCTAACGTCTCATTGTCTGTGATAGAGAGAACCAGGGGAACCAAGCTCGTCTACTCTCAGGCCTTTACATTTCAAGACGTCAAACAAAAGTTCTCCTGGAGGAAATATGTGAACGGATTAACTGAGCAGAAGCAATAAATAATAAAACAAGACGGCCAACATAAAACAAATGAATTTGATAAATGAAAACAGTGTCAGTCACAGCTCAACAGGTCCCAGTCTCCCACTCACACACATTTCATTCATTCACACTGTTGGTGCAGCCGTCAGGGGCGAGTTAGGGTTCAGTATCTCGCCCAAAGGTTTCATTAGTGGACGACCCGCTGCAGCAGCTGATTTTAGAAGTTTTGAATGGCCACTGCCAATATCGTGGATTTATGAAACGTGCAGAGCTGGTTATGACTCAGCAGGAGCCGTGATAGATCGTTGTTGAACCACAGCAAAGCTCTAGAAGCTCTGTCGGTCAAATCTGACGTGTTGCAGCCCTGAGGTTTCTTGCCTCATCAGTAAACACCAGCCAAATTGTCTGAAGAGGTGCTTTTGTGATTGTTTCCCTTCTCCCCTTTGTTCTGTGTTATCTTTTCTCGCAGAGAGCTGCCCGGCAACCCGCTCTGACCCTGCACTAATAGCTCTCTGCATGACACCAGTGAACAGAGCGAGCATTTAGCCTCAGTATTACCCCTCTCCCTGTCCCCTGTACCCCTCCCCTCTGCCGCCCTCAACAATGGCATCCAGGACAATGGGGTGAATTGAGGTCCTTGGTGCCACGTATACACACACACACAC